CGGCCGTCGCGGTTGCGGCGAGCCGTTGGGAGCGTAGGTGGAGGAAGCGGTGGGGGGCCGCCGACATCCGACCTTCGCTCTGCTGCTAATGACGCTGCACTGCACAACAGGGACGCGGTTGTGTCACGGTCTCTGTCGTATCACGGTCGTGTCACGGTCTCTGTTGTATCACGGTCGTGTCACAGTCGTGTCGTATCACGGTCGTGTCACAGTCGTGTCACGGCCTCTGTCGTGTCACGGTCTCTGTCGTATCACGGTCGTGTCACAGTCGTGTCACGGCCTCTGTCGTGTCACGGTCTCGTTCATGTCAGGGCTCACGGATTCAGGATCGGTCGGGCTGGCCGTGGCGCCGTTCGGCGGCAGCGCGCGAGACGCAAGGCACTAGCGCTTGTACGAGCACATGTTGTCAGTAGAACACATGAACGGCAAGCACAAGAAACCGTCAGTATTAACGCCGGGTTTTCGAGCTCCTTCTCGAGCTATCTGAAACTAACAGTAGTGCGGCCGCACACTGTACACGGTTTTTGAAATTCTTTATCAAAGGAAAGTTCAAGCTTATGTTAAGAGGTTCTCTTAGCCAGAGCGGCAGTGCGCAGGGGGAATTTCTGCAGCCGAACTCCAACGCCAAACAGTCCCTCCACTATGAATTTCAAGGTACTTGGAAATTGGTGACAATGGTCTATGCCTTGAAGTCACGCATCCGCGCCAGAAGTGCGAGTCGTCGGTACCGCTGCCCGCGAGCATATAATTTACGAAGCACCAACGCACACCTGAAAATCGCCGCCGCACACCTTAAGGGCAGTGACGGCAGTGACAGCAGCACCGCTCAACGCCCGTCCGGTGAGCCCGTGCCACTCACAGTTTTCATCTTGCTCTCGTGATCTGCTGGTGCCTTCCGCCCGGGCCTGCCGCTACTGCTGCTGTTGCTGCTGTGTTTGCTGTTGTTGCGTCTGCTGCGTCTGCTGCTGCTGCTGCTGCTCCCTAGCCCCGTCCCTCTTCGTCCTGCAGCTTGCGCGCCAGTTCAGCGCTGGCGATACACGATCTGACGTCACGCCTGGGCCGATGGCGTCATATTGCTGTGTGTGACGTCAGTCACAGGACCACGCCCGCGGTGGGCCCGTGTCCGCGTCCAGCGGAGCAAGGCGCGCCACGTCAGACGACCGTCATCATGTTCCAAGACGGGGCCACGCTTATGGACCCGAGTCCAGCGATACGCGCTCTAGACCGATGCATTTATTTGCAATTATATCTACCATTGAAGAGGCCGCAGCCAGAAAAGTGAGATACATGTTTGAGGAGACTGCATATACGTTATATGTCCGCAATATGTGCGACACGTGACATCAACATACACTATGAACAATGAGCCAAGCTCATGTTTTGTTTTAGTCACGAATCCACATCGAGCGACACATAACCCTCCTTTGCATCGCATTGGTTCAACCAAGTCCTCGCCACAGTATGTCGCCTTATTTAATCACGTGAACATGAACTAACTGAAACATCACAAGCAGGACTGTCTTGCAATGTCTCGCTCATGTATGCGTGAGCCATGGACAGGCTGGACTCTCCTAGCCTACACATTACAATGACTGGACCGTCTCGACCTATACCTTTTGATAACTGGACCGTTCCGGCCTACACCGTGTAATGGCTGGACCGTCCCGGCCTACACCGTATAATGGCTGGACCGTCTCGGCCTACGCCGCATAATGGTTGGGCCGTATGGGGCAATGTGCAAGTGACTGCGGCCTTGCTTCGCTAGGCGACGATGCCGTCATCCGTGCCGTGTTTGCGCTGTAGCTGGATCATCCCTCATGGCTTGAAAAGTCACTCTTTTGACCCGGACCAAGGAAAACATGCATTTCCAGATTCAAAGAAGCAACCAAGGAAGACGCTTGTGCCACATAATTGTTTTTTGTTCAATAGTTTGGAAATGATGCTGGGGAGAACATTTCGCGTGGTTTCCGATATGGACATTTCAAGTTTTGACGTCACTGGGGAGGTCACCTATGGACCTGGAACCCCAAAGTGGGTATAGCTGAGTACCTCAAGCAATGGGCAACATACTGATTCTTATCCTGATGTTTGTCTTAGTTCAAAAGTTGTCAGGGGCACGTCCCCCATTACGGTTGAGGGTGTAAACACATTTTTATCAATTTCCAACCCTTCTCTTGCTACACAATGATTACGCTGAATCTCCGGAAATCCCTTGCTAACGTGTTGAACTAAAAAACAAATTTAAGCATGCTTTGCACTCGAACCTCAGCGTAACGCCACATTTTCAAAACGCGGACGAGGGGTGATGAGAGACAAGGGCGATCGGCTAGACTTGATCCTCAACTATATGTACGTCCGCCCTTGTTCTTGCTCTTGAATGTGCGCCGTTGGCAGTAAAGTTTCATTACATTTTGCGTTTTTGCAGAAGGAGGAAATGCAGCAAAAGATCAAGGAAACGTTTCAACTGGTGTCCAAGAGGGAGGACAACGTCTGCAATTTTTTGGAAGGCGGCACGTAGGTGACAGCGCCCTGATATTGAAACCGTGAACATTTCACTCAACTGCGTAATTCTCAAAGCCATTGTGTCATGTTCTGTATCATGAGTTAATGATGAGGTATTTCAATCATCCGTGGATCGCAGCTTGCGTGGCGTCGGTCAGCAAGTCACGGGGGCAGCACTGGGCCTCCTATTAATTTAAAACTGTGTGTACTGCGTCGGCTTAACAGGTTGATCCGCAGCTCTGACTACAAGCTCATCCACCGACACTATGCCACGCTGTATTTTGTGTTCTGCGTGAACTCGTCTGAGTCGAAGCTCGGCATCCTCGACCTGATCCAGGTGCTCGTCGAGACGCTGGACAAGTCTTTTGAGGACGTCTGCGGGCTGGACCTGGTCTTCCACGTCATCAAGGTTAACTGAGGCCGGCAGGGCTAGGGTCGTAAGCATGAGGACTTGTATGAAAGTTATTGATGTGCCCGGAAGCACTGACTCTTCCTGCGCTAACCGCGGTGGGTGAGTGGAACGCACATCTGGATAAGGCGATTCAAGCAATGGCGAAGGCTAACAATGGAGGCGGGTCGTGTGCAGTTGTTTGCTTTGACAGAATATGGTTTACAAGGAAAGGTTGGTTGTATGCAAGCCTTCGCATCGGCAAATATTCGTGATTGGTAAAGTTCATCACCTCCTGGTTCGTTCCGTATGTGTTAGCCGAGACTGGCCAAAGGCGTCAGGGCCCTTATTGCTGATGGCCGGCGGCTGCAGGCAGAGTGGTCGGGGCTAGCATTCGCTGTTCTGACGCGGGAGAGGCATGCCATGGTTTCAGTGTTCGGTCGGCAGGGGGAGAGATCCACCGGCTGTTCTGACGCGGGAGACATGCCGTGGGTTCAGCGTTCGGTCGGCCGGGGCAGAGATCCACCGGCTGTTCTGGCGCGGGAGAGACATGCCGTGGATTCAGTGTTCGGTCGGCCGGGGCAGAGATCCACCGGCTGTTCTGGCGCGGGAGAGACATGCCGTGGGTTCAGTGTTCGGTCGGCCGGGGTAGAGATCCACCGGCTGTTCTGGCGCGGGAGAGACATGCCGTGGGTCCAGTGTTCGGTCGGCGGGGCAGAGACCCATCGGCTGTTCTGGCGCGGGAGAGACATGCCGTGGGTTCAGTGTTCGGTCGGCCGGGGTAGAGATCCGATGGCTGTTAGAGCTCGGCGATCTTGGGCTTGCGACTTGACTGACTGGTTCGACCCAGATTAGTTTAATCCCTGGCCTACATCATCGCTAAACAGTCGTCCCATGTTTCGGCCCCGACTGCCCGTCATCAACGAATCTGTGTCGTGCTGTCGCAGTCTTCAGGCGTCATCATGGCGGAAATGACTCTACGAACTCTCCCTCCAGGTGGACTACATTCTGAACGAGATCGTGATGGGCGGCATGGTCCTGGAGACCAGCATGACGGAGGTCATCACGCGTACCGAGGAGCAGAACAGGCTGGAGAAGCAGGAGGTCAGTGATGGCCCGTCCGTGCCTCTCCGCGCCCACTAGCACGTCGCTCTGCGGCTGACTGGTCGCGCTTGTCCTGGTGCCACAGCTCACTCCGTCTGCGCTGTTGTGACAACTTAGCTCGGATTAGGCCAAATATGTTTACGAAAGGCCCTGATACTGTGCTAGCTTTATTTCTGCGCGTCGAGTTGAAAGCTTTTATGTGTGGTTTACGACCTTCCTTTTACCAGGAGATGCTGATGAAACGATGTTGTAATGCTAAATAAGGATTTTATTGACGATAGTCAATATTTAGAACTGCGCTCGCTACAAAGCATTGCAACATCATTTAACCAATACCCTCTGGTTTAGTGTAGGTTGGTAGCCCAACATAAGACCTTTCAACTGATACCGCCATATAACCAGGTTTGTAGGACTTTCTTGTCTTAAATACGTATTGTATTCGGAGAGAACTTGGATATTCGATGCTGAATGTAAAAAGGGAGTGGTGATCGTTTTCCACGTTTGCTTTTTGACTTAATGTACTCGATAAGCAGAGCGTGTCGCGTTTGCACTAACTCACCAACCATTCGATTGTCGCCCACAATGTCCCGAACGGCGGTAGCTAGAATCTGTGGCGCGGTTCGCAGGAAGGATTCGCGGCGACGCCGGCCAGGCTGTCTCGATGGTGGAGAACGTCAACATCACACAGCAAATCAAGGACATCACGCTACCAGACCTGCCAGCCGCCATCAGGGACCTGAAGTTTTGATCATTCCCTCGTGTGCTGTAGACTCACTGTTGTTGTCAAAATGTCGCTGGCAACAGGTCCAGCGAATTGCGTATTGTACATGCGGCGGGCATTGCTGTATTTTCGTATGTAACTATCTATAAGTGTTTTCATTGAGGCCAATATATCTAGGACGACCACTGCGGCTCATTTATTTTGCCGGCACATTTATCGTAAAGCGGTGGGTACGAGTACGCAGCAAATCTCCCGGTGCTTATAATGCACTGTAATATCCAATATATGAATTCACTGTAATATCCCACACATGCCGTCGCATGTCCGGCTCAGACCGTTGAGGCGGGCTCAGCGTGCAATGCAGCAAATTTATTCGTTGGGAGATCTCCAAGGTTTGCATTGTGCTTGCCCTGGCTCGGGTCGTTGGCCCCTTCAAGTAGATGTGCCATGCGCCTGATGTTTAATCGAATACCAGTGACGGCATATCGTCAGGTGATGCCTTACGGCGTTAATGTGACCCGAAAGAGCCCTAAAACGTCACGACCAGTGACGTCACATACCCAGTCGAACACCAGTGACATCATATTGCCAGCAAATGCCTTATGGCCTTCAGTCAGCCCAAAAGAACCCCGATCAATGCAGAGCCATTTTCAGTGACATCACAATGTCAGCTGATGCCCCACAGCATTTCCCCAGCACGACAGAACACGAGCCCTGCAGCCAGCGTAGCTCTTCTCTCCGTCGGCCGTACAGTTACCAAAGTAAAAAACCTCCTTGATGTACAATGTTCTTTTGAATATCAAGAAGAACAGAGTATCCTGCGAACCTATGGCCGTCAACTTAAGAAACCTATAAGGTGATGATCATCCACATCTGCCTGATATTTTGTTCAGTTTTCCAAAACGTCTAAACCCGCTTCAGACCCTATGAATAAGCTTTGGCAACCCCTTTTTTGTTTCTTTTTCTTCGAGGCATGAAATGGTTTGGACGCACCGAAACGCCTTAAACCAAACTATATGAACGTGAAACGTGCTTTCCGAATGAAACTTGCACAGCTTGCTCACTACTGCTTGGGAGCTAATTGCTGTCTACTAAGCGCACAGACTGCTTGGGAGCTAATTGCTGTCTACTAAGCACACAGACGCCACACCTGAACACATAGGCGATAATATTCTTCCTGGCCTTGGACGTCATCTGGCCTGCCGGTTTGCATGATTCGAATGATGTGGCTATAGCGTCATACATGCCCAAATGACCTTTAAACCGTCCACACGAAATAGTCTGTCCATCTCTGCGGGCGTTTCGCTTAAATACTAGAGGGGCTTAGGTCTGAAGAAGGGCAAGGCTGCAAGCTGCGTCGAATGATTTTCGAAATGTCTGTTTCGGCTAAAAATTTAGTAAGATATGGAACACTCCTCTTCAGGCCAACGAAGCAGTTAAACACCCACCATTTAGTTTCTTGAACAGCAGTAGGTTAAGAAACAAAATAGGATGGACCTGCTTTATAAAAAAACATCAAAATATCTGCACAGGTTAAGTTGAAGTCATCTGTCACCTGTCGGTCACCATGCTTTTACTAGGTGCGGAATCTGAAACACATTTTCGTCTTATTGCAGTATTTTTTTTTTCAACAGCTGTGCTGGTAACGGACTAACTACACGCTAGGGCAATCTCGTTTGGTGCAGAACATGGTTCCGTAGTGCCTCAGTGACGTTTTGCTGGTCTACTGGCTTAAAGATTGCTCTCTGGCGTGTTGGCAAGACGTCCGCGTCTTGGCTGGTTCGACTAGAACCTCCATTCGTTTCGTGCTCTCATATGACCCGACGCGTAGCAAAAACCGACTTGTAAGTATGCGAGATTTTATGAGCGATGAACGTGTCACCCCATGATATGTAGCACTTAAAAGTGACTGAAACTAATTGCCCACTTTGCCTACTCGCATGGAGCCGCGAACACTGACATGAAAGGACAAATCGGACGGCCGCGTTTTTGTGCAGGTGGCGCCACCCGATAAAGGACGTGGCGCCATCTGCTACAAAATCCGCGGTCCGGTGCACGCCGGATGCAGGCGCTCGGGGAAAAGTTCAAAAACAGCCTGTGTGCGGGTGCCTGATCTCATAAAGCAAAATCGCGGACGTCTGCACTTCCACTCTCAAACTTACAGCACATCAAGTTCATATGGTATCTTGTTTAACATTGTATTGCATTATATCAAGGATAAACATTACCGTCGTAAGTATTTCGTATACTTCCCATTTGTGAGCGACAAGGAAGAAATGGTGAAATCCAGTCATTTATGCCAAGTGTTTTCACACATTTTGTGCCGGGAAAAAATTAAGCCTCAAAAGTGTACTTGATCCTCTGCAAGAGACATATTGACGCTACCCTAAATGTTGTTAGCGTGTGTAGCAAATACAAAATACACCCATAATCGAAAGAAATATATGTACATGTATTAGCGAGTAGCAAGAGCAGCTGCCAAAATTGCATGTGGCATGATTTTTTTTGTTCAAATGACTGGGAATGGCAAATGGTTTGACATGCTAGCAACTTTACAATTCATAGTAAAAAGAGCGGTGGTGTTGGCTGTAGGGCAGCCAGGTCATCCAATATTTATGCTCTTTGATTACGCCGTCGTATTTCGAATGAATCATGCACACGAAGTTTTACCGCACACCGCTGCATGACGTGAACGGTCGAGAGCATACATAACCCGCTTTTTAGTGGTAAGGA